GATATATCTAAACCAATGTGATCTTTCTGAATCTGTAATATATATACATATTTTTAAATTTGTTTGTTTATTCTAGTATCCCTAAGGTTCATTTTACTTTGCCCTGGAATGGAAAGCGGGGAAACGGAAGCGAATTTTTTTAACGCAAAGTTATAGTGAACTTGTCAATTGTGTAACATACAAATTATACTGTAGCCATCAATGACTGTAGCCAAATTCGATATAAAATGTTTAACAACAAAACGTTGCTAGGGAACCAATGATATGATGGTAGGAGTAAAAACATTTTTTGACAATTATGAGCATGTTGCAATATAAAATTTAGGCTAGCTCTGCCCACGGCCTGATTGCGTAACAGGATTTTACAAAGGTAAGTAGGTAATTGGGTTAAGTAATCACGTTTTATTTAATAGAAGATAGTAATTGGATTGTACAGAAGTAAAGTAAGTCTGGCCAAATATTATAAAGTTTGCGAAGTACCTACCGAGACGAAAAGAAACAAAGTAAGATTTATTTTACATTAATTAACTACTTTTATTTATAATACCAGGTGACAGGACGAACAAGTCGTGCGCCTGGTGGTAATCAACAGCCCTATCCATAACAGTTGCAGAGCCATTCACAGCTTTAAATCGCAAAGATCTTATGGGTACTGCCACTGCGCCCTTCGCCCTGAGACATAAGTTGACAAGTCCCTGTGCTTGTAATTTCACCAGCACCCTGATACCCTTCACAACCGGAACGCAATAATGCTCACATTACCGCTTGGCGGCAGAAATAGGTAAGGTGGCAGTACTTCCCTGGACGACAAGCTCTACTGCTAGTAAACGTACCTATACATACATTGACTTACAAATAAATGGACGACAGGTCTAATACAAAAACCGCGAAAAAAATGTCCCAAGTCGGTACAAAAAAAATTAAGGTACAAATTTCGCAAATGTGGAATCGAGCGGCGACGCGCGTTGACGCTTGGTAGCATTCTAGCGCGCGTCACATGGGCGCCGTGAGGCGTCAGACGCCGATCAAACCGACACCAAACTGCGATCCCAGCGCACTAATGCGAGTGTCGTCGCCTGGCGGTGGAGTTGAAAAACAGGACGCGACGCGACTCTTCGACTCTGCGCAGTAGAGCAGGCAGCAATTCCAGTCTAAACTTTGATTACTCCTTGAACAAGAAATGTTGGCAATCTCTCCTTTCAAATTAAAAAATCATTAGGGATGACAGTGTTAAAAATAATTACCGGTAATTTTTATATTGTATTAAAAATAAGTTACCAGTGATTTGAAATTTCTACTGCACAAAATTCATCACAGGCATGACTTTCAGATCAGTATTATCACCGGCCTAATCGAATTTCGGGAAAAAATGTGGAAACTGTGGTAACTGTAAAAGAGTCTGATGTGAAAACCCTTTTAATCGTGTTTGTTTGTTGACATTTATTCTACACCGAATTTGGCTAGACTTAAAGACAGTCTAACGCTTACTTCCTTAAGACTTCCTTTTTTATGGTTGAGTTGTAAAACTATCTTTATTCTTGTGGAATGCACGTTTGATACCCAGTCTACTTGTTGGAAATTTCCTACAAAGTGAAAATATACGAATTACGAAAGTATATGGGGATGGTAAAAATAAATTTAGAGTAGCCTGGTCTGAGATGACGCATCCGATAAGAGTACGCAATGTAGATTGCCGAGAAGTTATGTATATTAAGCAACTAAGTTCAGTATCATTTTGTAGTGCTAGGAAGTGGAGATTGTTGTGCGGAAAAGTTATCAAAAGTTATTGAAAACCAAGAAACTACCTAAGTCTGAACATTTTGATGTATTTGCATAAAACTTTTTGGTATTTTCAAATTGTTACTGAGACTCAAAGTAAGCATATTTTTTTTATACTGACTTTGTATGAAATCGCCCAAAAACTCGTCTAGAGATCAAACTGCAAACGATTCTGGTCACTTGCAACATATGGGGTTAGTAGCAGTTTTATTCTGGAATGGCTGAAGTGTGCAAGAGTATGCAACTCGACGTGTTGCAAGAGTACGCGCGTAGCCTCATACCAATTTTTTAGAATAGTGTACTTCTGAATAAAATTTCTGTCGCTATGCCTCGTTCTAAATCAACGGTAACCTTTTGCGAGAGTCTAGTATTTTTAAAGGTTTAACAGATCTTAGGCATGTGCTCCGAATGTGTCTGAAATATCGGCAGCAAGTGCGCCTTAGCACCACCACCACTCTGAGGTATGTCCGTGCGCCAAGTAGACACTTCTCAGCTCTCCATGAGCAAAGGCCCATGCATACTGAGACAAAAATCACATTACCAGAAATGTATGGAGGTGATTTTGTGCAATCGATAAACGAAGTCCTATCAAAAAAGGTGTTGCGTACTCTTGCCGACGCACATGCGTACTCTTACCCATAGTATAGTGTAAGTATAGAGTATGCAAATCCCATTTTGCACTTTTTTATCAATTACAACCACACTATTAAATATAACTACTTTTCACGTTAGTATGTAAGAGTCAGATAAGTAGACTATAAAATAAAACAAAAGTTGATTTTCTAACACTTTTTGTTTTCATTCTACACGATCCAAGCCTTAAACCAGGCTACCCTACTACATTTTGGTAGCAGCTCTTGCTTGTGAAAGAGCCCGTCCAGGGGGCCTACTATAAGCTTATAAGCAGCCAGCCACGTTCCATACAATTCACTTGACGTGTTAAAACCGTAATTCGCTTGTGACAGTTTATTTCTCCAATCAGAGTACAAATGAAAAAAACCGATTTTAAAGATTCCGCCAAACATCATCGAGGAATAGCCGTTTTGGTGGTATTGGATATGACCAACATACCATATCATACAATCTCATAGATGACAACAGATGGCAGATTACAAGCAAAGCTTTTAGTTACCACACAATTTACGGCATTAGAAAAAAATAATTGGCAACACCGATATAAAAGTAAAACGACATCTGCAATTCAAATTTATCAATTGTTAAAATTCTAATTAAAAAAAAATCTGAATTTATAGTGAAAAGGTATAACAAATTCTATGCAACAGTTTGCAAAAGTGATAACATTTCAATAACCATATTTGTTGTTCGAGTATGATACAATATACAATGTAGTACGCAAAATACGACTTGATCATGATGGCCATCTAACACTAATTTACCTGTTTCAATTCTAATTACGCGAGCAGGCTGTAGGCAGAAAAAAAATTCTTTTTCTATGTCATTATTGGTTACCGAGCAACGTTTACATTTTATGCCGAATTTGCATAAATCTAGAGTAGATAATTAGTTAGTTGTTTCCAATTCTTAAGTCAAGGAAAAGCAAAGGTTTGAAACCATATAGCAGGGTCTAGGTGCCATTAATGCACAGAACATTATTGCCTTCACTCATTAATTTAAAATTCAAAACTATTTATGATGTATCATTTTCATACCCATTTTTTTTGGAATTTGATTTGTACGTGGGGAGCACTATAAGTTTCCGGAATGAATAAGAAAAAATACTATAAATGGTCAGAAATTAATTTATTGTTTCTCAAAATATTCTCCGTTAGCGTTAATGCACTTTTTCATTTCATGAACCCATTATGAAAACATTTATGCCACTCCTCCGTGATAATTTCTGAAACATATTTTTCACACTCTTCGACAGCCTCTTCAGGCGATGAAAATCGTTGACCGCGTAAATGGTTCTTAATTTTTGGAAATAAATAAAAGTCACAAGGTGCCAGGTCGGGACTGTACTCGGGATGGCTCATAAGGTCAACGTTGTTCACCTTCAAAAATTCATTTGTCTGTCTGGCCGTGTGAGAACTGCCTGCAGCATTATCGTGGTGCAAGATGATACGGCGTTTACGGTTATTTTTAGAGAGTTTGTCAATAACTTCCGGCAAACAAATGGTTGTGTACCAATCACTATTCACGGTACAACGATTCTCCAAAGCACCAGTAGCCACGTGTCCAGTTTTATTAAAAAAAGAAGCAATCATCCACTTAGAGGCACTTTGCACGCGCGCCACTTGTTGGTTTCGGCTCATCTCGAAAGACCCATACACTCACCCAGATTGCTGCTTTGTTTTGGGATCGTAACTATAAATTCATGTTTCGTCACCTGTTACTATGTCCCACACCAAATTTGATGCCCCTTCGTTGAATGCGGTAAGCATATGGCATTGCACCAAGTGACGCGATCCGTTTTTTGAGCCTCAGTCAAATTGTGTGGGATCCACCGAGAGCACAGCTTTTTGACACCCAAATGTTTGTGTAGTATTGTATTATGTATGGATTGTATTTGACTCATGCCTATGTCTAACGATGCCCGAATCTCACGGTATGTCACGTGTCTGTGTGTTTTGATCATACGGCGCACAGCATCGATGTTTTTGTTGTTCACTGCAGTGGACGGGCGATCATCACGAAATTCGTCACTGAGATTTGAATTCTGCAATCCAGCTATAAATAGTCGTCTTGCATGGTACATCATCGCCAAAAGCTGTTTGAAGCCGAGCGAAGCTCCGCTGAGCTGTTGCATTACACTTAAAGTCGTAGAAAATCATACTACGAAAATTTTCACGAGTTAAAGCCATGGTGATGTAGACAACCAATTTCTAAAATGACGCCACAATGTAAAAACAAGTGGCAGTCAGATGAAACGTACCTGGATATACTAAATCTATGGATGAAACAAACAAAGAGTTCCATTTTCAAATGTTGAAATTACTTTTTAAATATTGTTTATGTAAGTGGCCAGTTCCGGAAACTTATAGTAGGCCCGACGTATATACAAAGGTTAAATCAAATATTCTGTTTACGTCAAAGAATACAATACAGTCGGTCCATGTCACACTTTTAATAAAATCTATTTGAAATGTTTCAGCTTTCATGCTGCATGGTAACTTATTATGTCAAACTCCCATCAATTTGACAAATTATTTTATCAAATTAGGCAACCTAAAATTTTTGAGAAAACACTGTTACAAGCCTAGCGGCCGCCCTATAGGAAATAAAAAAAGCAAGTAGGTTGGAAGTTGCATAGTCAATATTGACAAAACAAACAAAAATATCGTCAGTGGTTTTTTTATAATTATTTTACAAAATAAAAGTGATCTTTACAAGCGCAAGTTATGACAAACAATTCTGATTTGAATTCTAATTTGAATTTCACACCTTCTGTGTCCAAAGAAATGTATACCACGACTTATTCAATGCGTAGCTCTGACGCCAAAAGTTTAGATCCAAGCACTACGTTTGAAGTATTTAGGAATAACACGACGGCAGTCGAAGTAATAGTCAAAGAAGTACCTACAAAATCGAAAAAAACGATAAATCAGAGAACCGTGGAAACTACACAGTGTTTGTACGAGAAACAGATGGAGAAAAATGATTTAAAATACGAAAAAATGCGCAACGAAATAGAACAGCTTAAATCCGAAATTTATTTAGCTAACAGAAGGTACTTCACTGTAAAAAGGGATTTAAAATGTTTAATTTTTGAACTTAAGAAGCAATTGAATTTGATGAGCCGAAGAGAAATTGACGAGCAAACGAAGAGCTTAACATTACAACTGGAGAATGAGAAATTGCACACCTTGTCGGAGTCGCAATCGGTCATCATAAGCAGATTAAGGAAAGAGTTGATTCACATGAAACGCAGATTGAAATTTGTAGTCAAGGGAATCGCACCACAAGTGTCAAACGATGTTACTTATACCACGGATATTGAATATGACGAATTTGAAAAAGGTCTGAAAAAAGAAACTGAAATTAAATTTGGAACTAACATTGATGGTTTAGCTGCTGCTGATATTGGTGGTAACACATTTGACAGTACCTTTCCTTCTTTTGATAAGGTTTAACACGAACAAGGTATTGAAATGGCTACCAAAAACAGCCGTTCGTGCAACTCGTTAAAAATAAAAAGTAAACGTGTAAAAGTTTTCTTGACATGTCAGTATGTAGCTTTTGTCTCAGGTTGTAGTCACATGCGAGCTGCTTTCTGTCCACTGCTTGTTCCATGCTACATTGTACTTGCGACGCGACGGGACAAACCTCCCGCGAGTACGCGCTTATTTATATCGAAACTGTGGTCGTTTAAGCTAGGCCTTAATTGTCTATGTTCAATTTATTGTAAATGCAATGTAAGTAATAAAACAATGTTTAAAAAGAAGATTCATTGTGACCGTTTTTTATTGTTACAAAATACTTATTTTTAATTTAGTTTATGGTCTAAGGAGGCCACCCCTTTGAACCACTTCCTACGTGTGTTCGCTTTTAAAACCGTTGGCGACGTGCAGATGGCAACACGTGACGTTTATTTTCAGTACACACAGTACGCCAGTCCTAATAATGTAAACAAAGTTCAAGTTGAACTATAATATAATATAAGTGTCATCACGATACACGTTATTGATATTGATATATTACTATAGTAGGGTCCAGATACATACTCGTAATAGAGTGAGGGTCGTATTCCAGAACTCTACTCAATGCTCAAGTCAGGATTTGAGTATGGTTTAAAGCACTCGAAATCATACTCAAGTCCCTTCCGTTAGGGTCGTATTTCCAGTGCTTGAAATCATACTCAGATCCTGACTTGAGCATTGAGTAGAATTCTGGAATACGACTCTGAGTGTCAAAATTATTTGAACAGTCGAACTATAGAGCTGTATACACATCCTGTCTAACGTATATACAGAACGGTCTGCCTGTCGTAAGCGTTGGTCGGGACTGTGTAATGTAGTAGAATCATGTAAAATGATTTATTTTATGTATTCAGAGTTCTCTGCCTTTCAATATCATGCTTCTTACATTATCGGTATCGCGACCATTAAGTTTAAATTTATAGGTTAATCTAATTAATTTTCATTTCGCTACTCCGTGACTGAGCATTAAACATTGACATGATCGTTATGACACTTATCTAAATCATTTTGAACTTCACGCCACTTGAACAAGGTCATACTAAAAATTAAACTCCTGAGTTCATGAGTTATTTTATTTAAAAATCAACTCCAGAGTCCACGGGTAATTTTGTTTATAGTATTGTTGATATATTTATTATCCTATCACCATGCTTTGCTTCTACATTCCACACAAGTCTCATTAATCCATCCACGGTGTATTAATTCTGTATGGTAATATGAAAGAGGGCAATTCTTTGCATTCTCCAAACCAGTATCAAGGGGAACACCCCAAAAATCAGTATGGTACTTGTCACCGTTAACTATGCTATCCAGTTCCACCAATATAACTAATAAAAACTTATTATGTTCATTTTTCTCAAAATGTTGTAAAGCTGTTTCAACCAAAGACTCAGAGTGGAAACTAGAGTTTTCTATGCATTGTTCACATCCAGGGCATTAGCAGTGTCTGGAGGTCTGAAATTGAACGTCCGGTTAAAATTAATACTTTCGTATTGAAATTAAAAATTCGTAAACTAAATAATACGGTCGTTTGGAATTTTCCTTACAAAATCTGCCCCTAGTATAATTCGAATAGGAACTCGCCGACAAGAGGTTTGGAACTACCTACGTGATTATGACATTCTGAGATTTATACTCATACAACAAACTCACTAAGCAGTAAGGGCGAGTTACGCAAATTCCTAAGTCTAAGCAAGAAATTATCAAGTAAACTTTGTAAAGACCGAGTTGCCGATTTGGTAACTTTAGCGGCACTTGGCAACTAAGTTTGGGGTGACTCTTCACCTACAAAAAAAACTTCACATCTGCAATGAAAGTTGATTTCCATTGTTAGTTTAAGTTTGTATTATAAATTCCAGTCTTGGTACTTTTGTTCTGACATACTTTCACAATTTGACAGACCATCTTTGCCTAGTCCCATAGAGGATGGAAAAAATAGTCTAAGCCTAGTCCTGTGGCGTAATTAGTAGATACTCCTTATTGGCCCGGTTTCAAAAAATGTCATAAGTACAGTCCTTGATTTACCGCTAGTAAGTTGAAAAAATGCATATGATATTAAATCTTCGCCCCTCTCCTAGATGTCCATCCACGTGGTAGTAAGAATACTTACTTCTTAACTTAATTTCATTTAACATATTATTTTATGTGTTGTGTCCCGTCCATTTAACCCATCCTGTCCAACTTACTCGTCCCGTTCATTTCACCATATCTATCACTTTTTTGTGGGGAAATCCTCATGGGTACCTCCCCGCCGCAGGGGCAGCAAAGAGGCCATATGAGACATCTATCGGTTAAAACCCCATGGTGACTTACTCGGGTACTCGAAAGGGAGGGCTCCGGGATAGCTCGACATCTACGGCTGTTCCAGCCCGCGCCACTTGTCGAACGCTCGCCGGGTCCCCTTCCGACGGCTCAGCTTTCTCCGTCTGACGGAGGCGCTACCCTAGCCTAGCTCCTCGATTTTCTCGCGATGCGAAAAACCCTTTGTTTTGTCATAGTTCTCTCCCCCCACCAACACTAAGGTGACACGTAGCACACTAGATGTACGCCGGGGGAGTTCGACGCATCGTATGCAAGATTCCAAAGCTGTGGTTTTAAGAAAAATCCCTCCGGAAACCCACACACGACGTCCCTGCGATAGCTTACGCTAGTCTAGGTTACCTTGTCTATCCAGCCCATCTTGTTTGTCCGGTTCACCTTTTTCATCCAGGCTATCACGTCCGCCCAGCCCATCCTTTCCATCCAACCCATTCTGTTCATCCAACCCATCTTGTTGGTTCAACCCGTCCTGTCCACTTCGCCTGGCCTGTTTCTCCTGCTCACCGCTTCCTTCTAACCTGTTCTTTTTGTCCGTGTCACCTTTTCCGTCCACGCCGTCATGTCCATCGAGCCCATCCTTTCCATCTAACCCATCCTGTCTATCCAACCCATCTTGTTCATTCAGTCTGTCCTGTCCGTCCTGTCTGTCCTGTTTGTCTGGCTCAGTTTTCCCTTCCAGCTCGTCTTTTTTGTCTGGCTCAGCCAATCCATCTTGTACATCCAGTCTATCCCCTCCATCCCCTCCATCCCGCTCGTCTTGTCCATTCAACCAATCTTGTCCAAGTAGCCCTTCCTGTCTGGCCAGCCCATCCTGTTCATTAATATTCATTCCAGGTAATTGTCTTCCATCACAGTTCAAAGAAAAAATGTAAAATATTATTGTAAATATGAGCAATCGATTCATAATCACGAAGCGTTAAAACAACTTTAATTAATACAACAAAATGAGTGAAATAAAAAAGATTACTTTCTACAATGGTCATGTTAACAAGAGAACTGTTACTAATTGATTTATGGTAGAACTATAAAACCTAGATCTACATAATATATTAACATCAAGTTATTACATTTTAAACCAAAAAGGTGAATTAAATAATGAATAATATTACCTGTTAACATATTTTTGTTTCATATAATATACATAACTTATTAATTTTTAATTTACTTAATATCTTAAAATAGAATTTTTATCAAAAACTAAAAAGAGCGTCTTCGTTATAATAAGTGTACGAAATTATAACTGACAGTTAAAGTACAGGAGTAGAAAAAGTACCTTTTCACCACTGGCTCGGAAAGGCCTTTTTTTTTAGAAATTTACGCGCTAAAGCGACTTTTCCACGCTAGCGTGGAAACGGTATTTGAAATCCGATCTTGACGATGGACTGTGAGTAGTGCACCTTATTTTTTTGATGAAATAAAAACAACTACACGTTCAACTACGCGATTTGTCGTACATTATTATTTTATGTAATATAAATTTCTTGATATATTTTATTCTTATTATTGTTGACATTCAATTGATAATGATAACTAATTTTGTTTATTAAACGAATTTGTTATAGTTCAACTGTTTTTCTTTCATCTCCCATTTTCCTCGCTATAGTGAGGTGAAAAGTTATGTGTTTCGCTTGGCAACAAAGTTGTTTTGCATCTCGTGGCTTGAAACTCTCGCTACGCTCTGGATTCTATTTTTGATTTTTTGTATCTTAGGGTTGTATTCCAGAACTCTGCTCAATGCTCAAGTCAGGACTTGAGTACGATTTAAAGCACTAGTAATCATACTGAAGTCCTTGCCATTAGGGTCGAATTTCCAGTGCTTGAAATCATACTTCAGAGTCTACCCGTGACCATAGAGCGTGCAACCGTTCCGAAATATCGGGAAAATAAAAAGAAGTCAGTAAGAAATCTGATATTAGTGATAACCATTTAGTGAATAACCACGAAAGTCTAAAAATCTTACTCTTATATTACTTTAAAATCATTTCGTTTTTTTTTTTGGAATCGATATCTGGATCTGGATACTTCTCTGGGCTGCAGCTGGTCCGTAGATTCTGGATTCTCGAAGACGGGGCTTGATAGCCGCCCGGGCAGTGTGCGATGAAATTCGGTTTGAAAACCTTTGCTCGCTAACTGGCCCGCGAGAATCCTACCGACTGCGCCAATTAGGCGTAGGCTGCGGCCGGAGGTTCGGAAAAAAACTAAATGATCGCCTACCTTGCACTCACAGTGAGTGCAAGAGGTAGACGATCTTCATAGCGGAGCGCGTAGGGATGCCTAACAGTTTCAATAGAAGCACTCGCGTGAAACAACAACTTTGCAGCTTTGCATAACAAATAACTATTAACACATGAAAGTTATAAAAATAATACGCACTACATGAAAATTCAAATTGTGAGTTCTGCCTTTTTAAGGAAGGTTTAAAGATATTACGAACAAATTAGTCGATAACTTTTATGCTTAAATAATATGGATGCTGGCGAAACTTATATCTCACGGGCGCAGTAGCAGTGCCCTTAGATCTCTGCGATTTGAAGCTTCGAGTGGCACTGCAACAGCTATGGACAGGCGTGACGCTTAACACCAGGCTTAGTATAATAAAAAACAAAAGATTTTATTATATATTATTATTAATATGAAGATTTGACGTGTAATTTGCTTAATATTGGAGTTGCCTTCTTCCTTCCTTCCTCTAGAATACGATCGTTAAATAAATACTTGAGAAATAAAACAATTATATTCCAAACACGCAAGGTCGCGTGTAGTATATTATTCGTTAATAGTCCTTTATCTACTCGTCTTGACATTCGATACACAAAATGTCAGTGTTTTCACTGACAATCACAGTTTTTGGCGATAGCTTCGAAATCGATGTAGTACTTTACCCACAAATGTCGTGCAAAAAAAGTCATATTTCTAATGTTTTGCCAGAAACGCCTTGAATACTTTGATGTACTACATGGAAACGATTAGACTTTTCTGTTGTCGTGTTTTTCAGTTTAAATTATGGTTAGTAATAAGTATAATGTTGCTACTTAAAGTAGGAGCATTGTCGTGGGACTGTGTTAAATCTTCTATGACAGCGCCTTTAATATTAAAAGATAGCACACTAGCTATATGTCTCAGATACCTTACGGGTAAAAGTAAATTATCCTCAAAAAGTTTGAAGTTCCTTACGAACTTATTAATGTCAAAACAAAATATAACCTCACTATGACGGCAAGTCAAATTATGAATATGCGAATTTATGTTATATATATACTTATTATTATATATATACGCCGACAGCCTTGTTGTCGTTCCGTCAATGTGCGGGGCGTGGTGCAGTATCTAGGGAGGGGCGGAGAGTGTCCGCTCTCGTTACTTTTTTGTTGTCTGCTCAGGGTGACGGGCGCAGTGGTAGTGCCCTCAGATCTTTGCGATTTAAAGCTCTGTGTGGCGCTGTAACTGTTATGGTCAGGTGTGTAGCTTACCATCAGGCGCACGACTTGTTTGTCCATTCTTGATATTATAAAAAAAATATAGCATAATTAACAAAGCTATTAATAGCTAAAAAATAAATAAAAGTTACCACTTACATGAGTATTATAAACACGAAAAATATTTAACGTAAATATACACCCACATAATATAATATAATATAACATATAATATATGTATATATGTCTATATATATGTATATAAAACATAAAATACATATAAGATGATTACGTAGAGAGTTCAGCAAGAAAGTGCCCTATCAACCTTTTCTTGAAGGAAGCGATTGACGGACTAGATTGGATGTGAGAAGGGAGTCTGTTCCACAACTGCGCTGCTCGAGAAGAAAAAGTTAAAAAAAGAAATTTGTATTGCAGCTGGGACGAACGAGCATCTTAGTGATGTAATGACATCTTGAGCGGATGGGAGGAGGCAGCAGCTTAAACCGGGAACGAAGGGAAAAAAAATTAATATACTTATTCATTTTTAATGTACAGTTCTCTTTTTGTCGTATCGATGACATACATTACACTACACTTACATTTATTGTGGCCCAGAACTCAGCCACGCCGACCGCGCCACTAGTAGTCGCTATTAAATCCTCAAGCGTGCAGGTGTTATTGCACGCAGGGCACGATATGAGGTGGGCCATCGTTTGAGTCGCACCGCACAAGCAGTCCACGTAAGAACCATCTGAAAATCCTCACCTGAACCAATTGTCCTTGCTCCGACCAACCTGAGTTCGAAGCCTGTTCAAAGACGTCCAGATCGTCCACGGCAATTCGTGTCCAGGAGGAAGACTCTCAGAAGGCGGGACAAACGTAGATGGTATTCTTTTGCGCCAAAGGTTGCACCTCGCCTGAGCCGGCCCAATGGTTAGAAGATCGATACATTTGACAAAACTTTTCCGGCTTCTTAGTCTCTGTTGCACTGCAGTGATCATGCATTGGGTGCCGAGTGTCGATGGTAATTTTTGCTCTTTCGCAAGATGCCGCTACATTTTTGTAGATGTCTGGTGGAGCTATGCCAGCTAGTGGGTACAACAATCTTATTGGGGTCTGCTTAAGACAGCCAGTTATGATCCGGCAGGTCTCATTTAAGGCTGTATCCACTAATTTTGCATGGGTAGAGCGGCTCCAAACAGGGCAATGTACAGTAAAAACAATTCATACATTAAAGATGTTCTTTAACGTGTCGATGTAAGTGATAGGGTACTTTATATGCGATATTTGAAGAGGAATGCGTGCTTGAACTGCCTTGATAGATGTAGGTATTTTGGATAAATAAAATATACAGATGCTGTTTTTTATCGCTAAGCCTTTAAGGTCAGGCCACACAGACGCGGTATAGCGGGAAAAGCGTTTCGGGGGCGGACCTGCGGGAAGCGAATGCGTGCCGGGGCATGCCACACAGCAATCCCGAGTGTAGTTCGTGACGGGACAGCGGCACGAAGGCGGCCGGTGTGACACCAAAAGCGTCACGCCACATTTCATTTTCAACACAAATAAAGAAAGGTCCATGTCACTATCGGATAGTGATGTAGAAGAACTTCTTTAAACTTTTGTATGGGGTGTTAAAGTTACCTTGAAAAAAAATCTGCTAAAAATTTCAAGAAAAAATTAAATACATATTTTTTTAGTGCTGAAACTAGAGTTTACTAGAGTAATTCGGGCTTTCTTTGGCATTGTGCTCATTAGCTGGGCTGTTTCGGGTTATCGTTACAAAAACTAGAACAGCAAAATTGTAATTGTAGTACTTAAAAATGGGGTACAGGGCGTACATTTTCAACATTTTTCATTAAAATGCTTATATTACAAAAAGAAAATGACTCCGATTTTTTAAATATTTTTTTCTGGGTAGTTACAAACTAGGCAACATTCTGTTCCCAGGTTATCGTTGAGTTTTGGGACACTCTGTATACTTACTTTGAAGGTTTTGAATCAAACTATTCATATGAACAGAAATTGTTTATTTAAAAACATTTAAAAAATTCTATAATCTTAACACAATTAACTTGAAACTATTTTTTCAGTGAGACTCACTGGGCATTTTCATTATAACAAATAATAGGTATATAAGATTTATAGAATCAACAATAATAATTGCATTTAACTACTGTACCTACTTACTTTATTATTAACAATCTATATACGTAATTAACTTGAAACTTCTTTTTCTATCAGTCCAAATGGGCATTTTTATTTTAATAAATAATAAGTACCTATCTAAGATTTGTATAACACCAACTATTTTGTTTAAGTTATGTATCTACATAAGTGCATTATTTTGAACAATCTTAACATAGTTAACTTGAAACTTCTTTTTCTATCTGTCTCACTGAGCATTTTTATTTTGACAAATTATTTGTCATCTGAT